TTTGTTTTCAAAAAAAAAAAAAAAAAAAAAAGAGGCCCTGTTGTCCTGCCAGCTCCACGGAGTGACAGTTTCCACTGTAGACGCTTCAGAGCGTGCGCTGGATCTCCGTGTGCCGCTCCCCTTCCCGCCCCTGGAAGAGCTCGGGTTTAGGCCATTTTTTCGCACCCCGAGTTCCCCGGCCACAGCCCCTCTCTCAGGTTCATCCCCAGAGCACCCCGTCGCCTGCAGCCTTGAGGGAAGGTACCTGCACTTTTTAATGATATGCAGGAAACAAGGAATGTTGAAAAGGGCAGCAGAGATTTACCGTGTTGCAATATTTCTAAAGGTCACATCACCGTTTATTAGAGACGCCCCGGGTAGATTAGCTAGACGGGGTGGGGTGGGGTGTGAGGCAGACGCCCCGGGTAGATTAGATAGACGGGGGGTCGGGGTGTGAGGCAGACGCTGGCTTCTCATTTCACAGAAGCCATGTGAGGTGTCTAGTGGCCACTTTTATGGGGCCACTTGCTCAGATTTCAAACTTGGGGATGTCAGAATTCAGGGGAGACTGTCCAGGAGCTGAGTGTGGGCCTACCTTCGGGGTGCTTGTTCCCTTCCCAAATGATGGGGGGACATGGGGGAGCTCGTGTGCCCGGGGCAGAGAGGAGGGCACCCACCTGAGCACATGTGTGTGTCGAGAGACGGGGATCGGAGAGCAGCTGGAGCTGGGTTTAGGAGTTTGCTTGGGGTGGGGGAGGCTGGGGACAAGTGGGACAAAGGCAGGGAAGGCAAGGTGACCGGCGAGTCAGGCCAGACGCGGAGCCTATCAGGAGATGTGCCTGAAAGAGCTCTCAGACCGTGAGTGACAGATGCCAGCACGTGTGCTCTTAGTGGACAGAATGTTTCCTAATCGCGTTACCCGGAGTGATAGAAAACAACAGCCAGAAAACATCCAGGGAGGCCCTCCAGAGCCCGGGGGGTGAGCCCGTCTGCCCCTCCTAAGATGAACCCAAATGCCACCTGCACCGTGACCCCCTTCCTGGGGTGCCCAGTGACTCAGGTGTAGTTTAATTGGAATTCAGCATCATTCATCCCCCAAAGCACTGGCTGGCACTCCGGCTGTGCCAGAGCCAGGAATGAGCCCGCAGAGAGGGTCGAGTGGATGGCGCCCCTCGGTGTTGGCCCCCGAGTGGGCGAGTCAGTGTGCAGAGGCGATCTGCCTCCTTGGGTGTCTCTCCCCAGGCTGTGGATTCCTGGAGCCTGAATTTCCTCTCTCCCTCTGGGTCCCAGCACCCAGGGAGGCCCTGGAGCACTGGGTCTGTCGGATGGGTGCACAGAGGGGGAGAGATGTGAAAATTTCTTCTTCACGGTACCCTAAAAATTGCAGCTATCGCCTCCTTCATCCAGGAATCTCTGTCTCTATTAATGTAGCCTCAGGCACATGCTTAACCCGAGCTAGTGGTTAGGACAGAGGACACCAGGCACACCAAGTCCTCTGACCCCTGCAGCTTCGGCCATGGAGCCGATAGCAGTGAACGCCATGGGGCGTAACCGGGGAGAACCCAGCTTGGTGCTCTGGCACCAGGGAGGGCTTCCTGGAGGAGACAGCACTTGAGCTGAGCCGTAACGTCTAGTGGGGTTTGCTGTTACCGAGGATGTGCATCCTACTGCTTTTCTAGATCCCGTTTTTCTTTCCTGTCTTCCGGCTGTCGGCCTTCCATGTAAAGAGGGTCCCCCTGCAGCATTTACTGCACTGTTTGTCCTCATGTCCCTCACTGGCCTAGGGACTGTCCTCCATCACCGTCCATCCCATGTGCGCCGAGTCTGCGTGGTGTGGCCAAACGTGGGGATGGCCTGGGGCCACGGGGAGCCCCCAGGTCAGCTCTGGCGGAGGGAGCTGGCCTCTGCCAGCGCCCCCAGCCTGCGTGTGGATGGCTCTGCGCCCAGCGAGTGACCCCGAGCCTGGACAACCCCGGCCCTTCTCAGGTGCCGTCCGCTCTCCCCGCAGGTGTTCGAGGAGGAACACCACATCCTCTACCTGGACCACGGCGGCGTGATCGTGGCCATCAAGGACAGCTCCATCCCCTTGAAGATCCTCAAGTAACGTGGGGGGGAGGGGGTGCAGCGCTGGGGTGCGGGGGAGCAGGGCTTCTCCTCTCCCCCTGGGATCCTCTCAGGATGTTCCCCAGAACGGCCTCCCTGTGGGGCCCCAGGATGAGGGCACTAACCCCGCCAGCTGGGGGCGGCGGCAAGCTGGGCAAACCCTTCCCAGCGGCTGCCCCGGGCGGGCGTGGGGAACCAGGAAAGAGGGAATGCCAGCGGAGCACGTGAGAGCGAGCCCAAGGGAGACCTGGGGCCCTGGGGCCCAGGACACGGCCCCACCACAGTCTGGGGGAGCAAAGGGCTTCCCGGAGGAGGTGACTTTTAGGCATCAGTAGGAATTATTTAAGTAGAGAAGGTGTGGTCAGACAAGGAAGCCAACATGTGCCCAGGGGAGAGAGGTTTGCTATCGGCTTCAGACATCTGAAGGGCTGTTGTGGATAAACGAGGGCACGTATGAGCTCTGGACCCAGAAAGCAGAGTTGGGGGACTGCCAGGAAGCCAGTATTACCTTAGTCTGAAAAAGAGCTTCCAGCACTGTGGTGCCCTGCATTGGGACGCAGTAAGCTGCTGTCTCTGGCTGGCACCCCCAGGCCAGGCTCAGGCATTGGGTGGGTCTACAGTCCAGGGCTACCCAGACAGCATGCCCAGGACTCCAAGGCTGTTGTGTTGCTAAGCAGACTTGGACGCCACTTGGTGCTGGCAGGTGCCGCTGTGGCCTCCCAGGAGAGAGGGGTCCAGCTGGGGCCTGGTGCTGGGCTGGCCCTGGGGACAGACAGCTCCCTCCACACTGTCCTCCCAGCCGCCTCAGTGGGACGGCGCTGGCCCTGGGCACAGGCAGGGCTGGGTCCAGCGGGGCAGCCAGTCCTGGGCACAGCGAGGGCCCCTGCCTGCCCTGCGGGTGGTCACGCTGCTTCCCTGGCAGGTTCAGCGTGGACGACGGTGTCACGTGGAGCACCTACAATTTCACCGACACCTCCGTGTTCGTGGACGGGCTACTGAGCGAGCCAGGCGAGGAGACCCTGGTCATCACGTGAGTGCCCGCGGAAGGGGCGGGTGGGTCGGAGCTGACCCCAGGAGGTGTGCCAAGGGCCACCGAGGGCCTCTGCTGCTCTGAGGCGGGCTCACCACTGACCCCACTGACCCCCAGCCCGCCTCCCTCGCTCTCATCTGCTCCTCGCACCTGCCTCCTCCTGGTCTCTCACTACAAAGGCTCCCTCTCCCCCCAGCCGCTGGGAGGAGGCCACTTGTCTGTCCGTGTCAGGGACATCCATTACGTGCCCAGATCACCTGGCTGTTGAGGGGTGCAACCGAGAGTCCGAGCTGCCTCCGGGCCACTGCCCCCTTCCACCTCTCGAGCCGACAGTTTTTACTATTACTGTTACCGTTGTTACTATTATTACTATTGCCTGTTGGCACCTGTGAGCGACTCGCGGGCACACTGCACAGTGAGGACCTTGTTCTCAGACAGGCCGGGGCAGGGAGGAGCCGGCTGAGCCTGGCCTGGGCCGGGCTGGCGTCGGAGGCTGCAGCAGTCCCAGGGTGGCCCGGTGAGGGCAGGAGCGGCGTCGCTGGGCCCTCAGTGTAGGCGGGAGCTGAGGCCTGAGGGGAGGAGGGGACGGGCGCAAATAAGGCGTTTTCCTGCCCCTTCCCCCCAGCATCTTTGGCCACATCAGCTACCGCTCCGACTGGGAGCTGGTCAAGGTGGACTTCAGGCCCTCCTTCCCCAGGATGTGCGGGGAGGAAGACTACAGCGCCTGGGACCTCACCAACCTGCAGGTGGGCCGGGCGCGGGCGGGGCGGGGGCTCCCGCGGGCCCACCTCCGCCCTGCAAGGCCAGGGGCCTCTCCTCCTCCAAGGAGTCTTCCCAGAGCCCCGACCGCCCCGAGACGCCCAGTCCTTCTGGGGTTTCCTGGCCCCTCCTTGGTGCCTGGGCTGCTCTGGGCTCAGTCACACTCGGGGCACAGGTCCCTGGGCCCCAACCCGGCCGTGGAGTCAGATGTGCTTGGGGTTCAGATCATAGGAAGGTAACATGGCCCGTGTGTTGTATGTGACCTGACACCCCGGTGTGGTCTGGGGCAGCCGCCTCCCCATAATCTCAACACACAAATGTTTCTACAGCAAAACATAGGATATTCGCACTGAGGGGAATTAGTGGGGCCTAGAGCTGGCCTCCCACTGCGGTTCAGCCAGCCTGTGCTCTCCCAGGTGTGGTGGGGAGGCCGGGATTACACCTGTTACTGCCATGGCTTCTGTTTCGGGGAACAGGGGCGGGTCCTGTTTCAGGATCACTGGCTAAGGACCTACTGTGTGTCCACATGAGCCCTCCAGGCCAGGGCTTGTTCCAGCTCCTGCATGGGGCCTGGCACTCCTGGGGCCTGAGGGACTTAAAGGGGCCCCTTTTCTGGCAGCCCTGTGGCCCCTAGAGCCCAGATGGAGCTTGAATGGCACTTCCTCCAGGAAGCCTTCCCTGACTACCTGCTCTGGGCTCCGAGCTTACTTTTGTCATGTGGTGCTCCATGAATACTTGGTGGGATTGGAGGGAGGCCGCCCCAGCTTGCCTTCAGGCACACCCCTTCCCTCCTGGGCCTCAGTTTCCCCGTCTGTGAAAGGGATCCAACCCTGCCCCTCCCCCCACGTTGCCGCTGCAGGGTGACGGCTGCCTCATGGGCCAGCGCAGGAGCTTCCGGAAGAGGAAGGCCACATCGTGGTGCATCAATGGGAAAAACTTCACATCGGCGCTCACGTCCCACGTGTGCCCATGCCAGGACTCCGACTTCCTCTGGTAAGGGTTCTGTCCCACACGGGCTGCTTGCGTGACCTCGGGACAGAGCGCAGGCAGAGTGGGCCGGGGCCTCCGCACCTCCTGCGACCCGGTGTCAGAGTCAACCTGTCGCTCCTGCCTTATCTGAGCAGTAGAACTGGGTCTCAGGTCCCCGGACTCGGGGACGGGGTCTAGAGAATCCCTGGCCCTGTTTGTGAAACCAGCGCAGGCGGCCTGCTCACAGTGAGAGGCGGAGCCAGGACCCGCTGTGCGCCGGCCCCTTCTCCTCTGGTCAGGGACTCTTCATTCTCCTGTGGCGCCCGCTGCGCCCAGGACCATGTCCGAGTTCCAGAGCCCAGCTCACGAGGCCTCTGGCCCACCTGCCTGCCTCCCCAGCCACCCTCAGCCCTCGCCATCCTGTCCCTTACACTCTGCCACCTCCATCTGTATCTCCCTGTGCCCGCGTTGAGGGGTCTTCCCATGCAGTGCCCCCTCCTCTCTTTCCCTGGCTGTCTCCTGCTCTTCCTTTGAGATTCGGCTCACCACTTCCAGGCAGCCCCCCAGGACACTGGGGCTGGGCTCAGTGTTCTCCTGTGGGTTCCCAGAATCCCCTTGGCTTCCCTTCTGACCTGGAGCAGACCGGAGGCTCTCAGGCCTGTCTCCCCTCTGGCGCAGGGGCCCTGTGGATTCGCCTCTGTGACTCCTATACTCCCGCCCTGTGCCGGCCTCCTGATGGATGTTCTTTCTTCCTCCCAGCGACTATGGATTCGAGCGCTCCCCCTCCGACACCAACAAGTGCTTTGCCAACTTCTGGTTTAACCCCCTGTCCCCCCCTGACGACTGTGTCCTGGGCCAGACCTACACCAGCAGTCTTGGGTGAGTGCACACGGGCCTCCTGGTCTAGCTCCTGGGGCAGAGCCACGGGGACACCCCCTGCCCTCCTGCCTGGCGCCCACCTGCAGCTCCCTGCACAAAAGTCATGGCTGAAACGTCCTGTTCACAGGAGCTCCTGAGGGTCACCCCAGGCACTAACCCTCTAGGCCTCTAAGAGTCAGTGACCCTCGATCTGAGCCCACCGGGGCTAGCTTCAGGGAGTAAGGTGGGTTGAGCTGGCCCTGAACAAAGGACCACAGGAGAGAAGGTCCAAGATGCCTGTTAGCTCAGACCTGTGGCAGGGGCTGAGCCCAAGGGAATTAACACCTTCCTCTTGGTCCTCTGAGCCCCTGCAGTGCCAGGACCCTTCCCCATTTACCAGCGCAAGTGAGGCAGCTCTGAGCTGGGCCCGAGGTGCTCACACTTCCTTTAGGTCTCAGCTTGAATGGCATTTCCTCCAGGAAGCCTTCCCTGACCACCTGCCCTGGGCCTGAGCTTGCCTCTGTCATGGCACATGTCTGGTTATTGTTATCACTTACCCAGTTGTTCTCACTGCTGTGAGCTCCACGACGCAGAGGAGCGGTTCCTTCG